CTTGGGAGCGTGTAATTGTTTGGCTTGTGGTGGGTGCAGATGAATGCAGGGAGGTAACAGGAGCCCGGGCAGGGCGGGAGGGAAGCTGGGGCCTGGGCCAGATAGTGGCCTCGCTCCAGGGCCTGGCAGCCGAGCGAGGGGCCCGATTTTGGAGCTGTGCAGGAGCGTGATTTATGTCGCTTAGCAAACATTTACCAAGCTCTAAACGGATAGCGAGGGAAGCCTCTGGCATGATGTCTTTTTCCCTCAGGCTCCCTTAGTCTTTGTCCTTCTTCCTGAGGGGATGAATAAAACATCTATGGTCCTTGCCCTTCTAGAATCCTCCACAGATATTTATTGAACCCTAACTCTGGGCCAGATGTTCCAGGAGCTGGAGATAGGATAGAGCACACAACATCTGTGGTTCCCGTCACACAAGGTGATATAGTCAACAAGTGGCTATTGAGGACTCAGGGGCTGGGAGGTGGACAGGGCACCCCCTCTATCAGAAGACTGTCCACGTCAGACTTGCAACAGTCTTCTCCAGCCTCCCAGAGTCACGCCCCAGAAATAAAGGAATTATCACGCCCCTGTTCTTTGTAAACACCTTTCTTCATATGCAGATATTGTCAAAACAGATCTAACTTATGCTCCTCCAGGCCCCTTCCCTTCCCAGCTTTGTAGTCCCCAAGCCTCCACTGTGAGCCACCTTTGTGTCCCAGGTATAGTGCTAAATCTAGGAGATCACTATGCATGGCCTGTAAAACTAACTTATGGTGCTGAGTTGACATGGTTCAATCAAGAGTGATTCTCAGTCAATTTCAGTAAAGAATTTAGAGATGGACAGACAAAGAGATTTTCAAGTAAAAGTGACCCCACCTGGGAAGTGACTGTACCTACTGCTGTGACAGTGTCAGGGCCATACAAGATCTGCTTTAAATATTGGTTGGATCAAAGAATAGTTGAAGGAATGGGGGAGAGAGCAGTTCAGATGGTGTTTGATAGATGAGAGCGGATACAGTAGGAGCAGGCTTGGGGTGGAGGGAATGCTGCATTCAGTTTGGACTTCAGAGGAGTTTAACTCTGGAGAAAAGTCAGGACTGGAGAGATTTGGTAATCATCTCAATGGAAAGGAACCTTGAAGGCCTAATTGTGATTTAGATAATCAAGGAAAGAGTATAGAAAGAAAAGGTGAAAGAAAAAAAATACTGCAGAATAACTCACAAACTGCCTTTCCTCTTAGTTCCTCCTCTTTTCTATTCCTCTTCCTCTCAATCCCCACTTAACTTTGTCCTTCCTACCTGCTTCCTTTCCTGCCAAGTGGTGTCTGTCTTCCCTCATCCTGGTCCAGCTTCCTTCTCCAAGTGCACCGATGTCATCCTTATCCCAGTCTGTTGTGTGTACTGTCACCCTTCTCTCTCTCTCTCTCTCTCTCTCACACACACACACACACACACACACACACACACACACACACACACACACACACGGCTGTGGGAGGAGCTTTGGCAAATTCTGTCATCTCAGCTTTTGCACTTGAGAACATCAATGCCTACATGGCAGGACCATTAGAAGGTTTTTAATGAAGCAATGCAAGGAAAATGTTCAGCATAAATAATAGCTTTGGCTACACTTTGTGCTGTTTCTCAGCCAGGCCTGACCTTCTCAAGCTTGGCAAGCAATGAAATAGAAGGAATAAGTTTTGTAAAAAAAAAATTTTTTTTCTGTTTTTACAAATATTTGACTGAGGGGAAACAACTTGCTTCAGTTCGGAAGATCAGAAAGCCACCTCCAATGCCGAAGCCGACGTTTCTGAACTCTTGGGTCTTAACCTGGGCTTTAGTCTTCAGTGAGTTGATGAAACGTGTCTGTGTTTTTTATAATATTTATTGGGTTGTTTTTCCCCACTTAGAAAAGCAGAACATGTTCAGATAATTTTGGCTGGCCTAATTACAAAAAATTTAGAAATATATATGGAAGAAAATTTAAATTGCCCTTAATCTCACCATCCAAAGATAACCAATGTTAGCATTTTGAAGTCTGCCTGCCTGAACTTTTATCTGTAAATGCCAGTGTGCTCTCATAATGTATCCATGTGTCTCCGCAATACATATTTTTGCAAAAATGAAATCTTGCTATACTTCATTGTTTTCAGCTTGCCTTTTTCTCTTAATATACTTTTTATCTCTTTCTGTGTCACTAAGTAACACATCTTCAGTATTTTAATGTATTTCATCGTTCAGATTCATAATTATATTTCTCTTTTCCTATAAATGGGTATCATGCTGCCATTTCTAAATTTTCTCTAATTATAAACAACTCAGGGAGAAATTTCCTGAGAAATAATGTTTATATCCTTATTCATTTGTTTGTTAGTGAGATTGCTGAGTCAAAAGGGGTGCCCTCTTTGGAGGGCTTTTGCTGTATATTGTCAAATTTCCTACAGAAATCGTGCACCAATTACATTCTCACCATACCCCTTTCGCCGCTACCTAGTCACTCCTAGATATTGTCAATTTATTGAGGAAATATTTATTGAACACTTACTATATGCCAGGCCACTCTTGGAGGTGCTAAGACTATAGCTGTAAACAAAACCAAGTCCCTGTTCTCATGGAGATTTCATTTTAGTCAGACAGAGACAAAGAGTAAACAATCACATAAATGTCATGTTAGATGATGTACAGGGTGTTAGGAAGAAAAGTAAGGCATTTGTGTTCTTTTAATCTTTGCTGATTTGATAGATTTTGTGAGCTGTCATGGTTTTAGTTGCGGGGGGGCTGTGATTCATTTCTTCCTTAAATACTTATTGAGCACATGCTTTGACCCTGGGTTGCAAAGGTCAACAAGATGACAGTGGGCCTAAGTTCTGATGGAGAAGTATAAGAAACAAACTAACAAATAAGTGAACAGTGTAACAGAGAGTAACTTGGGTGGAGCTGGGAACATTAGGTCATGTTTTCAAAGAAGCCCTCTCTGGAAAGTTCATGTTTGATCTGAGAACAAAATGACAGAACAGATTTGTTATGAGGACATCTTGGGAAATAAAGTAACAGCAAGGGCACAGCAGGAGCGGAGGCTTGGAGGTGGGAACAGGCGCGACTGATTGGGGGAATCGAAAGGTCAGTGGGGCTAGAACGTGAGTGCAGGGCAGAGTTGGAAGAGATGAGAAGTTGGTGGGCTGGGTTATACAGGGCCTTGAGGACCACAGTAAGGAATTTGGATTTTATTCTTACGTAGTAAGTAATCTTTGAAGGGTTTTGAGCAGGGAAATAACATGATCTGATATACATTTTTAAAAGGTGACTACCACGAGATGAGAAGACTGTAAGATAAGGTGACTGTGTAAATTTATCATCCAGGTGGAGATCTTTCCGCAAATGAAAGGGGGTGTTAGCTGGACAGGGTATCAAGCAAGAGGTGAAAACTGAAACTGTCCAAAACAAACCAGAAGTATAGTCACCTTACTGTAAGGGACAAAAGTAGAATCAGGGAGATCCATCTCGAGGTGGCAGCAACAGTCCAGACCAGAGATGATTGTAGCCTGGACTAGAGTGGTGATGCAAGCTGGGGGAGCAGAAGAATATGAGAGGTATTTAGGAAGTAAAATCGACTGGTCCAGATCCTTGGACATGGTTAATGAGGGGAAGGGAGAAGTCAAGAATGATGCCCTGGTTTGGGTCTGAGCTACTGGATGCAAGTCCGTGTCAGTCACTGAAATGAGGACGCCT